TGCTACTCAGCCTCTAGGGATATATTTTTCTTAAATATCCTCCAGCTGTATTCTTAAGGTAAGGGATTTGCTATGGTTCAGACATAAATCTTCTCTGGCAAAGATGGTTTAGCAAATCTGAAAGAAATCTATAAGAGACAGAAAAAAATTCTATCCTGCAAAACTAGCAGCCTGTGGAGAAGGAAGGAGGTCTTGTCTTGCTTCTGTCAGAAGTTGTCAGTTGTCAGTTGTCAGTTCCTAAGTTGTCAGTTGCTTTCCTCCTCCCCAAAGACACAGTTTGAAGGATTTACAGCACAAGTCCATGGTTCAGCTCTGTGTCTTTAAAGCACAAAGAGAAAAGGTAAGGACCTTAAGAGGACATAGGCATGTTCTCAGATAATATATTGTGTGTTTTGGGCACATAATCTCAAAAAAACCCAAAAAAACACCCTCACAAGCAACAGAGTACAATTCTTTCTAGATGCCTATCTGTTAAAAGACATTTTTTAAATCATACTTTCTGCTTTATATATTCTCTGTGCTAATTTATGGTGCCCCAGTTCATTCTTGCCCTCATGCTGCTCCCTCTCCTGTGCCAGAGTAAGGATTTATGTGGTGGCAGGTGAAGCAGATCAAAAAACTGATCCATGTTAAATGTAAGCACAAAAAAGGGGGGGTTAATTTTAAGCTGGATCGTGGAACTGATCTCATTTATTAAACAGCTCTATAGATCAGGGAAGATGGAAATGTAGGGAGGAACAGAATGGGTGGAGGAAGACAAGATTACTTCTTTTGCTAGCAGTGCTGACCTGTGACATTTTACAGTGCATGAGAAATTACAGACTGTGAGAGGACTGACTTTTGGAGCACAGTGAATTAACGTATTCTCAAAATTACTGTCAGGCCCTTATAATGGATCATAGATAACCAAATCTGGTTTTAAAGAGGAAAAATAATTTTATTAAAGGGGCAGTGAACTTATTTTGGTTTGTCTCATAAATCACTAACTTATGATAGTCATAGGTAAATCTCTTCAAATAAATCCTGTTATATAACTTTTAAAACAAATTTTCCTTTATTTAAAGTGTTGTCTTGAAACAGGTAAATCAAAATATACCAATTAAGATAGATTATGAAATCTTTAATTTTTTTTTTTTTGTTTATCAAAGTACAAACACTTAAAGGTAATGTTTTAATTTCCAATCTATTTACATACTTGCATTAGTTACCAGTCCAGCCAAGTGTCTGGATTGTATCCATGTAAATGCAACATTTATCTGTCCTAATGATTTTAGAATGGTACTACATTGGAAATTGTGTGTTGCAGCAAAATATCTGCAGAACTGTATCTCAAAAAAAGCTTGGGGATATCTTTTAACATTAAGGGATGAATGTGCCTTATACCATTCAGATGACATATGATTTAGGTAGAAGTAACCAAGGGTTTTTCATAGGCATTTAGCGTGCTTTCCTTTCTTAGTATGAAGGTTTTAGGGTATGTGTAGAGAAAATTCTGAAGTACCGTTCTGAAGATTTAATGCAAACTTTCTTTTTTCCTGTTGCTCAGAGAAGATAAGGAACGATGGCTGCAGTAAGGCATATAACATGGCTGTATTTCTCTTCATTCTTACATGGGAAATGTCTATCTTCTAACACCTTTCCTGGAAATCAGATCTCTTGCTAAGAAGCAAATGTGGTATAGGTTTGTTTTACTGAGGTGGTATCTAGATCAAATTGAATAAAAATCTGTGTTAAATGGGGCAGTTCAGAGGTCACTTAACTTACAGTGAGCATTCTGGTTTGTTGACAGTAACTTGGGTTTCTTCAAATGAAACCACTTCTATCTTAGGGATTTTCTCTTTGTAGTACACCTGTGATTAATAATTGGAGAGTGTAATTCAATTCTTTGCATAAAGTACACTCATTTATGGACAAATGGATAAAATACATAACATGAAAAAATGGCATAGAAATCTACTGTAAGAGAGCTCTTCTAAAAGCTGTCTGGTTTACCTTTGTAGATACACTTGGTCATTTTTTGTCTGCAACAGAAAATATCTTTCTGATGCTGCAGGCATGCCCAGGGGCACAGAAAGCAGAAACTTTCTGGAATTTCAATAGAAAGCCCGATTTTTCTGTGGAGTAAAACTTGTGACCAAAAGTATAAGCATAAATGTTGTTGTGTTCTCTAACTACTGTAAATACAAAGTTGTAATTATTAGTAACTTCACTGGAGGTACTGCACAACTGTATCAATGATACAACATTCAAGACCAGCAAGTGCTGGTAGTGAAATCTCATGTTACCTTCAGTATTTGCAATTATGCTGTCAGTCAGCTGTGTTTGGGTCCACGTGCTGTGCCTCTAACTCTTACACTTGGGTGAAGTATTTCTCAGGAGCTAAGAATGCCTCCAGAACAAAGAGGGTGAGTAGCAGGATTAGTGTGAGCTTGTGATAAGCCATCTTTACACTTCCATCTCTTCTTACTCTGTGTGATAGAACAGCTTATCAAATGATTAAGAGATAGGGATGTAAAAGGACGGCTATCTTGGATTCAACCTAATTATCACAGCAAAAATAATTATGGAGTACTTTTAAAATGCTTAGAGCAACAACAGAAAGAAGCAAAATAGATTCTATTGGCATCTGCGAGAGGCAGTGCTTCAGAGGCTCACTGCTTAATGATCTGCTTAGGAGGAGAGGTTTCACACTGAGGGCATCTTTCCTCCCTGTGCTGGCTGATGCTTCCCATGCTTCTGAGACCAAACAATTTAAACAGAAGTATCCTCTCAATACTGAGAAGTATTTCTCAATTTCTAAAGTCCTCTAGATAATTCTACCAAATTCCTAAGTTGGCTTCTGCTCTGCTGTCCTAAACAGCAGCCAAATGCCATCCATCTCTGCACCCAGGCTCAATAGCAGCACTTGGAAGCTGCTTCCGGGATTTATGTAAAGAAATACCAGATCTAACGTTGGAAAACAGCTCTCCAAAGAGAGACATGCATGCTCAGACATCCAGGCAGTAGATTCTGGATTCAGACTGTGAGGGGATGGTGTTACTAGCTCTGCTGAGCACCAAGCACCTCTGCCATAGCATTTTCAATAAAGAATTATATGGCCTTACTATTTCATCTTGCAGTTCCAAAACCAATAAACAACAGCATGTGAGGGAGGAATTATAGTCCCTGGAAATGGCAGTACTCCCTTCTCCTTAAAGTTTAGATTTAGTTTCAATGTGTGCCAAGATATAGTACAAGAACCAATGATTCTTCCAGTCTTCCTAAGTGGAGGAGTAGAGGAACCTCAGTTGTGTTACATCAGTTTTATTTCTTAGTGGATTTTTGGATGACAGTTTTATCCTGGGTTGGGAAACCTTAACTCTGGCATACCCAGGTGTGAGTTAGTTTGTGTGAGTCTAGTTAGTTAGAAATCTCAGTAAATTATCCTTTAATTACATAGAGCTTTGGAAAGAATGCTTCCTGAGCTCAGAGACAACACCATTACACTTGGGAGATTATACTATACATTTATTTAAATGAGCTGCTACCCTAATGGGCCAGCATCTATTCCTATTTCAAGTCTTTTGTGAAACCATAATAAAAACATTTACAATCTAATTAATTTATCTGAAGCCTTAAAAAAAAAAGAAGAAGAAAACATAGTGGCATATTGAACTACGCTCAACTATTCACCACAGCAGTCTCTCACAGTTACAGTGAGGTATTTAAAAATAAGAACGATATAGTGTTACAGAATCACAGAAAGGTTTTGGTTGGAAGAGGCCTTAAAGATTATCCAGTTCCAACCTATTACCATGGGTAGGGATGCCACCCACTAGACCAGGTTGATCAAAGCCACATACAACTCAGCCTTGAACACTTCCATGGAAGGAACATCCAGAGCTGAGAGGAACCTGTTACAGTGCCTTACCACCTTCTGAATATGGGATTTTCCCTAACATCTCATCTAAAGCTCTCTTCTTTTAGTTTACAAGCCTTACCACTTGTCCTATCATTATGCACCCATACAAGAGGTCCCTCTCGCTCTTTTTATGAGCCTACTTCAAGCATCACACAATTGACAGGGTTGGAAGGGGCCTCTGGAGATCGTCTAGTCCAACTCTCCTGCCAAGGTAGGTTCACCTCCAGCAGATGACACAGGAACTCCTCCAGATGGGTTTTGAAGATCTCCAGAGACAGAGACTCCATGACCTCTGTTGCAGTGCTCTGCCACTTTCAACCTGAAGAAGTTATTCCTCACGCTGAGGTGAAACTTCTTGTGTTTCAGTTTATGCCCATTGCTCCTTGTCCTGCAGCTGTGCACCACTGAAAAGAGTCTGGCACCATTCCCATGGCACCTGCCTTTAATGCATCAGTATGTATTAATGAGATTTTCTCCCAATCTTTTCTTCTCTGGACTAAAAAGGCCCAGCTCCTGCAGTCTCTGCTCATGAGAGATGCTCCCTAGTACAGGAGGGCTATAACAAGGTCTCCCCAGAGCCTTCTCCAGGCTGAACAACCTCAGCTCTCTCAGCTTCTCCTCAGAGAAGTGCTCCAGGCCACTGATCACCTTGCAGCTTGTATCATTAGGGAACTACCTCTAATTTTCATTTGTAAGATCGGGATAGATTTAAAATGGTACTTCTGGCTTGTGGGTTTTCCATGTAGGCAGGCAGAGATGGCAGGAAGCTTTCTTAATTGCAGGGTTATCTTTTTTTAAGTCAGGCTCTATCCCCCGAACCGTGTCTCGGCGGGCGGCAAGGGCCGCCTCGGGCCGGGCCTCCCGCGGCAGGTCGCGGCTCCTCCCCGCCGCTCTGAGTCACGGCCCGGCCCCACTTACACAAACCCGGCGGCCGGTGCCGAGCGGGGGCAGCGCGCTGTGAGGGAGCGGGAGGTGGGGGCGCGGGGTCCGATGCCCGCCTGAGGAACCGGAGCTTTCGGAGCGGGCGGGCGTGAGTGAGGGCGCTGCCGTCCGAGGGATTAACGACGGCCCCGCTGTCCCGTCGCGGACGGCGATTTACCTGGGTGGCCACCTCCCTCCCTGCCTCCCTCTTTCCTTTCTTCCTTCCTTCCTCCCCGGAGCCGGTGGTTTCGGCGGAGAGGGAGTGGAGCCCGCCTGGCCCCTCCCCGGAGAAACTTTCCGCCGCCACCCGCGCCAGGTAGGGGCCGGTCCCGCTGGGGCGGGAGCCGTGAGCGGGCGGCGGCGGCTGGGACGGGCCCCGCACGGAGTTTCGGGGCTGTCGCGCCGCCGCTCGGCCTGTGGCAGGCGGGGCGGGCTGTCAGGCCGGTGTCACCCCCGGCCGAGCAGCTGCCGTCTGCCGCAGGGCCGCCGCGGGCTGAGGGCAGTATATAGGTCAGTGGAAGTAATGCCCGCCTAATCCCCTTTATCTTTTTGGCTCGGCTTTTCCGCTGTTGGTTTGTAGGACGACCCTTGGGCAGCGTTGGCCGCAAACTTCTGGGAGAGAAAGGACCCAGGCTTGGCGCAGGGCTGTGTGAGCGGACGAGTGCCGAGGTGAGAGCATGGGATACGCGCTTTTATTTTCCGGGAGGCTTTTCCTCCCGAGTGTGACGCCTGACCGAGTGCCAGGTGTTCCTGCGTGGGGCTGTCACCTGCGGGACCCTGTGTCTGTGTGCCGAGTTTGGGTTCGGACTTCTGCTTTAACAGGTTAATTAACATTGATTATTTCTTTCTCCTTGCGTCACTCACCGAATCGCCGAAGGCTGTGTTGGCGTTCGCTTTGGATGCCAGAGGAAGGTAGAGGTCTCGGCAACTTGGGGGCCCGGGTAACGGGAGAATACAGTGTGCCCTGACAAAGTGAATACTGTGTTGCTGTCTCTCATCTTTGAGGAGCTATTAGCAAGGTCATGTGAACCTTTCTGTTGCACAAGGGTGTTGGTGGCAACTCGACTTGATTGAATCACTCCATGTGGGCAAATACATAGGTGCTGGCAGGTGCCCACTGTCTGCTGGGAGGTCATGCATAAGGCCAGCCTGCCAGTATAGGAGTTTGCCAGGTTGGGATATGTGGTTTCTTGTAACTGGGAAAGGCTGAGGCGTACTTGATGGTATTTGGAGATTTTTATTTCAGTCTAACTTTTCTCTTCCCTGGGCTGTTTGATTGGTTTTGTGATTAGCATTAACATGTCTCCTACAGTGACAGTAAGAAGAAAAAAATGCATAAAACTGGTTGTGTAATTTTGTATGCCACTCTATTACTTGTGGTTGAACTGAATGTGACTTGAGAATCTGGCAGTGCCCTCTCTGCCCAGGTGTTTTCTGTTGATCAATGTGAAACTGACGCTGTGCGTCAGTTACATTTTCCTTTAGTACAACAGTGTTTTTATTCTCCCATAAGCAGTAAGAAGGATCTAGGGCTCATCTTAGTGGGGAAGCATGAGGTCTTAGTTTTGTTTTCATTTTCAGAGAGAAGAGGTAGTGATAATAAATTGTCCATTCAAAGAGATCTCTCATACACCAAGGTAGTAGTGTTAGGTCATGCAGTGTAGACCCATGTCTCTGTCCTATGCTGGTTTTATATCATAATTTCTAGAAGACAAACCCTTCCAATCAACATTTTTTCTAAAAGGTTTAAATACCTGAAGGAGTGAAGTCAAATGATGGTTTTCACATTGTCTGTGGTACTTTACTTCTGCTGGAGTATGTGTGTACAAGAGTCCACCTGATCTGAAACTAATCTAAGAATTAGGACCTAATGCTGTAATTTGTTTCTTTCTCTCTGGCTCTGCTTTAATGAACATGGAAGGTCAAAGGAAGAAAGGAAAGACAGAAAAACTTACAATCCATAAGGTGAAGTAGAAATAATGGTAGAGGGCAAGGTTATACCAGTGAGATATTGATGTGAGGATGGCACTGGTGAAACTCGTGGAACATCCAGATGCTTTTTCCTCTGATCTGTCTCAATCAAAACAATGTTTTCAATTGACTTCCAGTAACAGCTGTTTTAGTCTGTTTATTGAGCCGTGGTGATTGATGATATGTGCTTTGAAAAAGAAGTGAATCCTATTAGATTGATGAAAAATATGTGGACAAAGCCTGTGGAAGAAACTTAACTTTATGTACATGGTTTCCTTTTTTTCTTCATAAAACTTCACTGGGTCTAAACTGTATGGTGGTGCTGGTAAAAACTGGATTGTACTCTGTAAGGGTTTTGGCTTTGAGTTCTGGTTTTATTTTTGGGATTTTACTCCACTAAATGGGATACAAACCTTTACAGAAACTGAAGCCAAGAGAAGCAAAATTGGAGAAACTGCTGCTAATGTGGTTTTATTTGATCCTGGCATGAAACTGAGTTTTGGAAATCTATAGCTATGTTTTCTCTTCAAAAAGATTATAATGATGCATTGATGCCTGTCAAGCTTAAGTCTTCAGATTTGCAGGCTCTCAGTACCATCTAAGGCATCAGTTGCTCTGTTAAACTGTACATTGAAGGATTATTAAGATTGCTTTGATATACATCATTTTAAGACTTCTTTTTAACAAAGAATTCATTCACAAGTGCTGCTGTTCCTCCCTTGCATATCTTTATTTATTATATATAGATGCTGCTTTTTGATGCCTACTGAGGGTTTCATTGCAAAAGATCTCCAAATTTTAATTAGCCTGATGGGAATCTTGTTTAGCTCTATAATGTTTGAGTAGCATACTTGACTTTTTAAAGATGCAGTTCTCCACATCCTGATCCGATATTACTGTGAGCAGTAGTTTCCCTCAGACATGAGAGAGGTGTTCTTTCTCTCCCTCTCTTTCTCCCATGGCATATTTAGTGTAGTTGGTATGTTTGTGGTGTTTGTTATGTGCTGCTGAGAACAAGGCTTTGTTGACCTCTTGTTCTAGTAATCCTTTTTGGTAAAAATTTTATAACTATATTTGGGTTTACAGACAAACTCTCAAACTCTTCTACTCAGACATGCTGGCTTGGCATTGCCATCTTACTTATGGGCTCTTTGCAGCCTAATGGGGTAGGTCAGTTTTACACTAAATCTCTGCCACCCCAGCAGAATGGTCATGCACTGTATCTGCATCAGAATAAGCACCAGGAAAGAGGGCATCAAGGAAGGCTTTTAGCAGAATAGTGCTTTTGGGTGTTTCAGGTAATGCAGTACACAACAGATGTCCATATTTTTGGTACGTTATGGTTGCACTTCTAATGCTCTGATAGGATTGAGTAAAGACAAACAACCTTGGGGTACTTCCAGAAGAGACTACAAAGGTCTGCACTAGTCAAAAGTTGGGTATGAGTGACCTAGAAATTCTGACATTTTTTTCAGTCCTTTTGGCAATACAATATAGTGGCCAAATAAAGACTTGTAAGTAGATGCTGGTATGGGTGCTCTGTAAGAATGTCTGTATCTTTAAAACCTCATTCAAACAGCTTTCAAGAAACAGTGCCTTTTCCTGATCTTATTAATTAATTTGGAAAGTAGAGCTAGGACTTCATTGTGTCATGGATAGCAGGCCAGTTAGACCTGGATCAAGTTGCTGAGGTTGCACCTCAAGTCCTCGGTCCATTTCTGGGCCCCTCACAAGAAGGATGTTGAGGTTCTGGAGCATGTCCAGAGAAGGACAGTGAAGCTGCTGAAGAGTTTAGAGACTGAGTCCTCTGAGGGGTGGCTGAGGGATCTCGGGGTGTGTAGCCTGGAGAGAAGGAGGCTCAAGGGAGACCTTATTCCTCTCTACAACTGCCTGAAAGGTGCTTGGAACCCAGTGGGTGTTGGTCTCTTCTTCCAGGCAAACAACAACAGAGGATGGCCTCAAGCTCTGCCAGGGAGATTCAGGCTGGACTTTAGGAAGAATTTCTTCATTGAAGAGGTGGTTAAGCTTTGGCATGGGCTGCCCAGGGAAGGGGTGGAGTCACCATCCCTGGGAGTCTGGAAATGACTGGATGTGGCACTTGGTGCTATAGTTTAGTTGACATGGTGGTGTTTAGTCACTCGATGATCTTGCAGGTCTTTTCCAGCCTTAATAATTCCGTGATTGTAGTGAATTAAAAAAACAGTTTTGAATGCACTTGTGAATGTGTACAATAAGTGCTTCTGGCTTAATATCACTCCATTGTAATACATGTGTACACACACCAGTGTGTTTTAAGGAGTCAGCTTTAACTGTGGAAGTGCTGTGTTGGTAAGGAAGCATTCACCAGCTGAAGTTAGCATTATGAGCACTGAGGAGCTTTGGGAACCCATCTTCCCTAACCTGCCATTGTAGGCATTGATCATAAGACTTCCTATTAGTATAGGCAGGTATCTCTCAGTCAAGGACTCGGTGATGGTATGATAAGAATGCTTTGCATGTTAAACCATGTGGCCAGAAAATTCTTGTCTAAGGTGATCCTAAAGGGCATGTCCAGGTGAGGCAATTCCATGTGGAACTGAAACAGAGCAGGTAAGATAAGAGCTTGTGAGAGTGGTGATACAGGCTCAAGGCGTGTGAAGACATAATCTAAGAAAGTGTTACCCATGATATCAAGTGAGATTACATTTAATTAGCAGAGGAAAGTTTGGAAGCAAGACACAATCATAGCTATCTGCGTGCAGGAGGCCCAGCATGTAGTTGGGACTTTGACTCATTATCTCTGAACAAAATGTAGCACTTTTTCCTAGCAGTTGGAAAATTTGCCCTGAAATTTGTTCTGTTTGAAACTGTGCTGGCTTGCTATACATGGTGAGTTTTTGGGAAATCAATGACTTCTTTATCTTTTGCCTTTCCTTAAAAAAAAAGGTCAAATTTTGATGCAATACTGAATTGCCTGTGCATACACTAACGTTAGACCATGACAGTTAATTGTGAGCTAAACATAATGGTGTTATCTACTTTTTGTGTGAGAACATACATAGCATCGCTAGATTAGTGCTAAAAGTACGAGGCAAATTCTTATGTCATTTTTGCCATTTAGCTTTAGAAGCATAGTCAAATGTTTTCTCCCCTGGTACCTCTACTGTAGTCTCCAAGCATATGGCAGACATGGTTTTATTTATTTAAACATTTGCATGCCTTAGAAGAACTTGTCTTTTTTTTAAGATAGGAAAGCTGTGTGGTAATAAAAATATGCTAGATTCTTTGTGTCAGTAACTACTACTGAAAGACAATTGTGCCCATTATCCTTCTGATTCTAGCTCATTTTTGCAAGTTGCCTGGATTGTATATTGGTGAAGTGTAGGATTTCTTGCTGTGAGAGTTTTTATATAGAAAGACTATTCTGGCAATACAAGTGGAGTTTGCCTGCGGAACTGAACAAATGATGCCCTTGAACAAGCTCACAATTGGAAGGCTTTCCTGGAGCATGTGAAACAAATAAAAGTTTTAAAGTATTGACAGTCTTTATATTCCAGTAAACCTTTGGATTGTAACTTAAATTTAGCTGTTGGCTAACAGTTGAAGAGTTAAACTGCTGAAGAATCAATCTCACTTGCATTCACAAAATCTTTTGTAAAACCTCAGATACCCCCGAGCAGGAGAGAAGAGAATATTATACTTTTGAGTTAGTTTTATTAACAATTAACAGTTAATATAATTGTAACAACTAAATTATTTTAGGTTTTTTACACACTAGTCAGAGAGCTGTGGTTAAAAAGTTGCTGTTGTCTTGCCAAGTCCAAGAAGTAGCATGGATTGTTATTGAATTGTGTTAACTCATTTTGCTGTGGCAGGCTCCTGCCCTAACACAGCAAACCTGAGAGGGAGAGATAACTTGGCTTTCTGCTTCGTCACTGTACTGGCACGATCCTGAGTAGTGCTTCTGTAAGCCTGTATACCTTAAACATACAAGGCAAGAAGGAAGCCTGAGCAGGGAGGTGTGCCTTTCATAATTACAAGTTGAAGGTGGAACATCTGTAAGTTTCTGCTCTGGACCCATGGCTCTTAGTAAACAGAACTGTGCTACTTCCTCTTGGCACATTTGTGCATTTTTACACTTGACTTGTGCCATAAATGTGTTTTAGTTCATTGTTATAAATTCCATCTTCCTGTAAGAAAACCTATGGAGGTCAAAAGTTTATCTCCCCTTTTGAGGAACTCAATGATTTCCAGTGCTGGACTTTGCAGGAGGTGCATGCCCCCAACCACAGCATGATGTGGATTTGTTTTGAAAGTGAGGGCTCTGTTCCTCTCTGTGAGTGGGCTTAGAATTGTGCTGGTGTCTCTGCCTTGTCTGCCTGACCAAGGTAAAGTGACAACAGGTGCTAAGCAGCGAAACATTTTGCTGCAAACCATAAAGATCTTTAGAAAAGTGTGCATTGTTCCCTTTTATTTTTGGCTCCAATGTTGTTCTCAAATCACCCAATATCCTTGGAATACCTTTGGTATGGATTGTGAATTTTTTTTTTCTTTTCTTCTTTTAATTGGCCATTTTGCCATTCAGTACACGGAAGCAGAGAACACATAGGAACACATAGTCAGCAATAGGTGTAACAGGATAATTTCCTTTCTGAATTGCTGACTTGCATTAAGATTAATTATGCTTGCCTGCTTGGAGTGGTTTCAGGTAAACAATTAGAAAGTTTTTTATCATCTTCTTGAAATATATTAATAGGACGAGAAGCCTGTGAAGTGAGAGTACATTCTGAGTGGAAGAAAACCAGAGAGGACAGAAACTGATTTGCCTTTGCAATGATTCTGTTCCTAATATTTTGGTCCCAGTAGTGTGAACAACACTAAAAGCTATTTCCTTGAACTTGCTGCCAGGTAACACAGAGATTTTTATGGCTGTCAGTGGTTGCATCTGCTTTCAGCATATTTTACTGGCATGATTTTTACAGAGGTGATGCTTGCCAGCAGCGGCCCAGTGCTTATGGGTTCCTGAGTTGCTGGTGTTGATAAAGCAGAACACACAGTAGTATTGAGATTCTTTTGAAAAATTTCCTTCAGCTAGTTAAGGCTAGGTTTGTTTTGCTTTGATGCCAGTGGAATCCTTGAACTTGGAAAACTTTTATTTTCTTCTCACAAGAACCTTTATTGTTAGAAAAAAATAAAATGTTCAGAGAGCAACAAGGCAGTTTAGCAAAGACTGCATTTATAATGCATGGTTATTTGCAAATTGTATCTTTTGATGGTAGTGTTTTTAGCAACCTACATTCAATAGCTGAAACATTACTGTTTGATTTTAAAGTAGCAGCAAGTAAGGGGGATAAAATTTTGTTGTATTGGCAGCAAGGCATATTCTCTTACTGGTGTGCACTTGTTTTGCAAACATTTAAAGTAACAACAGTTCAGGTTTAAGAGAGGCATCAAGTCAACAGCAACATTTCAGGAGCACTTGGCATTGGGCCTGGTATCAGGAGACAATGTGGTCTAATCAGTTATAATTAAAAGTACATTTAAATATTCTGAAATAAAAATATGATTTATTCAGAAGCAGGAATATTGGAGTCTGTGGCATATGCTAATGCAGAAATTGAAACTGTTCTTCCACAGAGGAAAATATGAAAAGTAGTGGGAGGCTGCCTTGGCTGCTGGTGAGCCCTTCAACATCAAATGCAAGGAGGGAAAGGAATTCCCAGCTGGATTGCCAAGGACAAGTGCAAAAATAATGCGCACACACACGTACAATTAAAAATTCAGAATGGCCAACTCAAAAAGAATAATGAGAAATAATTATAGAAAGTTAGTAAAAAAGCAAGAGGAGGTTTCCTCCTGTTTGACTAGTGGAGCTGTGGATAGATAATGCAAAGCAGGCTGAGGTCTTTTTTTGTTTGTTTCTCCACCTCAGGTCTAATAAAAGATATTGAGACTTGGAGGGGAACATGATGTCCAAGGCAAGTGCTAAAACCCTAAGCTGGTGTGAGGAAAGAGTGAGTTTTAGAGCAGTTAGGGAAGTTTAAGTTTGAAGTGTTTACAAAAACACTGTTGAAAGAGTAAGGGCTGGCTGATGTAATCCTTGAGCTGCTGCAGTTACTTAACTCATGGAGGGGATGTGTAATACTGTGCCACTGAGAAGAGGGATTGTAGTGTCTGTCTGTACAGGTGTCAGGGGCAAGGGGTAAGTGGAAATGAGCAACTGTAGACTCAGTTGTTTATCTTTATTTGTTCTAGCATTTTTCTTGGGAATTAAACCCTCCAAAAGCAGTAGAAAATGACAAAGAAATAAGCAGTAGCCCATATGATTTTATTTTTAAGATTAAACCATTAGATTAATAGAATTTTGTTTTCCAAAATGCTAACAGAAGAGGAGCAGTAGGTCTCTAGTAGCTTGACTCTGTGATATAACCAGTCAAAATTACATTCTTATTAAGGAATGTCTGGAGGAATTGACTGTGGGCAAGTGCTAAACTGCTTGAAAAACATTGTTTTCTCTAGAAATGCACTGAGATAGTGTTGTTGTTTGGGGGTGAGGGGTTTATTTTAAGTATATACTTGAAGGATTTATATATTTTAGTAGACAACAATAATAACAGGAGTCAACGTTGCTATAGAATTGTAAAATTAGAGAATGTCTTCAATCAAAAGAATTGAATACTGCTCTTAGAAGGTTTTGGGGTTTTTTTAAATAAAGCTCGTTCTTAGGTTGGGACTGAAGTTTGTCTTGCAAACCCCAATAACACAGTTCCTTATTTCAAATACAGCAAGGCTTCTTTAAAGTAATTTCTGCCTCCTGGTTGATGGGAGCAGTTGGAGAAGGCCAGAAGGACCAAATGCTTCTCTCTGAGGCTTGTTTCAGTTAACCTTAAGGACCTTTCCAGTTCTTGTTGTGGGATCCTGCGTCTGCACCACATATGTGTAAATAGAAATATGTTCTACAAGTGAAATTAACTGATCTTTCCAGCCAATATTGATGTAGTCTTATGTTTTGAAGATGGAATTAATTAAAAAGTAATTTAAAAGGGAAAAAGAAGGTAGTATGAACCCATTGGAGGGAGTCTGGAGAAGAGCAGTAAGGATACCTGGATGTCTGGGGGAATGACTGAATGAACTGAAAGCTTCTAAAATAACTGAAGTTATTTTAGCTTCAAAGAAGTGAAGAAGACAGTGGAGAAATGAGAAGTGAGGGTTTGTCTGAATGTATGAGATAAACGTGTTTCTCACAGTGATCTGTTCTCTTTCCTCGCTTGGTAAGACAGAATTGCATTGGAATATATTATCAGGAAAAGTTGTGTATGATTTCAAGAACAGGTAATGAAAGCAGCTGTGAGTTGTGACAGAAACATGATGTGTGTTACCATGGCACAGGGGGAAGGACTAGATGACTTTGAGGTGATTTTTTTTTTTTATCCTTTGAGTACAAAAAGGAGATGGTTACTGTGGTGCAGCATGATGTGTAAAATCCAGGGAGAGCACAGTACTGAGAATTCACTTCAGTACCTCTACTCTTATATTTCAACTGATAAGGAGGATCGAGAAGATATCAAAACATGATGCCTCTTTTCTCTGTTGTTTTTTTCCCTTTTCACCTGCATGAAGTAGATGAGGGAGACTTTGCAGTGCTGTGGCTTTTGAAAAGTAGCTAGAACTCCCTATTAGAGATAACAACATGAAAAAATGACTGTGGGCATGGCTATACCCACACTGGCTCTGCAGGAGCAAATCCTAGAACAGGGAGTGCAAGAAAATGTGATGTGAAGATGCCTGGGTTAGCTTTGAAAACAATTTTGTCATATTTGTGTGGTGTTGCATCCAAGCCACTGGGGTTTTACTGCTTCCAGACCTGTGTGAGTCTGCTCTCTGCCACGCAGACTTAATCAGCTTGTGCTAGTGAAAATTTGGAAAACTCTTTTGTGTAATCTGCTGTATGTTGTTGTTAACAACCCTCTATTGTGCTGCCCTTGTAGCCTGTGTTTGTTTGAATACACAAATTCTTTTTCTTTAATTATTTGCCCAGTAACAGTCCAAAACAGAAGGCGTTCTTCACTGCATGATATTTCTTGTCCAAATGATAGGGATAACAACAGTGACATTAAACAAAGGTTTTAATTTCAGCTGCACGTTATTGGGCAAAACTGTGGATAGCAGAAGGAAAACAAACATTTCAGGAAGTCCTGCAGTGTCAACTGATCTTTAAATCAAAAGCAAATAGGCACATTTTTATGTAAAATTAGCAGTTTAGAAGATTTCTAGGTTTGTTACTCACAGAGGGAGGTTTCCCAGGAGGTATCACCTCTATGATATGTTTGTTATCTTAATTCATGCATGTATGAAACCGGAACATACTTCCCTCTTAATATTTTAAAGTCCATCTGCTGTTTTGAGTCGTATCTGTTGGTACTGGGAATATTTGTATTGATTCATATATCTGTGGACTATGGTTTCTAGGATTATTTTCTTGGGCTTTCACATGAAGGGGAAAGATAAGGAAAGCAATTTGAATTTCCCAAACCACAAAGCTATGCATCTTTCATAATATCCAGCTTGGGTAGTGGTGTAGGTTAAGATGCATGGGATGTGATACAGTCTCTAAGGACAGCTTTCCTCTCAAATAAAATGCAGTATAACCCTGAGCTCAAAATTAATTGTGTTTAGAAAAAAAAAAAAACAGAGGGGAGACAGAGAACGTATAAATCCTTGAAAAGGGTTTTGCCATTCTGAGAATGTCCTGGTAACCTGCCTGTTAAAAGTAAGTTTGACAGTCTGCTCTGCTGTGGACTGAAGAAACATTGAAAACTGCTGTGTATTATGATTTGATGATCTCAGTATACAAAGCAGAGCATCGTAATTCATGAAGGCTACTACTAAGAATTGATTATGTTCTAAAGCTTTTTAATATGCATGCCTCACCACACACATTTTAGGAGAATTTCAGGCTATCCCAGCAATGTGAGCTGATATATATATTTTTTCTTATATTTCTATAATTGTGAATAATATGATTTGTATAAATACTGTGATCTAGAAAATATATAAAATTCATATAAATCATATGAGATA